AATTTAGTTCTCGAAATTCAGGTTCTTTCTCTCCCAAACATATAATCACATGCTAAGTACTGATTACATGTTTGGTATGTTGGCCGAACAATATTGAGTAGAATAAATGGCGAAATTTTGTTTCGTGTATTATCCTATGCAATACTATTCTAATACCGCATGCCAAACATGCATTGAATTCAAGAATTGCTTAATGGGTGCTCTATTACATCTTACAGGCAACTATTCCATCAACCTTCAAGAGACCGGCTCATGTGCCAATGTGGAGGGGAGCCAAGGTTGCCTATTTCTTCATTGCCATTTGCATATTCCCGGTTGCCATTGGAGGTTATTGGGCCTACGGAAATCTCGTAAGTCTAAAACTCGACCAATTTCCTTGATGTCCTAGAATCATAATGAGCATATATGTAATCTAGATGTTCAAAGCAGAGGATACTCTAGATGTTTGCTTTTAATAAATAATTCAACATACGCTTCACGTTAACTTATCTTCCATTTTGTTGCATCATGTATGCTTAACATGTTTTTTTTCTTATCTCTTCGCTCAGATGCCTTCTGGAGGAATGCTTAATGCATTATTTGCATTTCACAGTCGCGATATTCCAAGAGGACTTCTTGCTATGACATTTCTTCTTGTCGTTTTTAACTGCTTGAGCAGTTTCCAGATATATTCAATGCCTGTGTTCGACAGTTTTGAAGCCGGCTACACCAGCAGGACGAACCGGCCTTGCTCAATTTTTGTGCGTTCTGGCTTCAGAGTATTTTATGGGTTCATCTCCTTGTTGATAGGTGTTGCACTTCCATTCCTCTCGAGCCTTGCTGGTTTATTAGGAGGACTCACTCTTCCAGTTACCTTCGCTTACCCATGCTTCATGTGGGTTCTCATTAAAAAGCCAACAAAATACACCTTCAATTGGTATTTCAACTGGATCCTTGGTTGGTTGGGTATTGCTTTTAGCTTGGCCTTCTCCATTGGGGGTATTTGGAGTATTGTGAACACTGGGCTTAAGCTGAAATTCTTTAAGCCTAACTAAGAATGAAGTGAAGCACACCATTTCAGATGTACTTTTTCTACTATGGAATCTTAATTTAGCAGATATTATCTTATGAGTTTGATCATAGCTATATTGCTAGCGTGCATTTCTGAATTGATACATAAAATCTGAAACTTGTTTATAAATTTGTAATCCATAGTCCCATATCATTTTCCATTTACTTTACGAAGTGGCGTGGACTCAAGTTACTGATTTTGTCTTTACCTAGTACTCAGCATTAGGAATTAATATAGCATCAAAGCATAGAAATATCTTTACCTAGTATCCAAATTTAATGGATCGAGAAACACGAAGAATAATCATGTTGATAATGTATCATAAATACAAAAATTTCAACATAAGAAAGCTTTTCGGGGCAAATTACGGGATTAATAAGATTTTTGGAGCAGAAGTCACCATGAGTTTCTAGTAAGTATTATGCCCTATGTCCAATCAATTTTGGATATAAATACTTTTGATGTATTATTAATACAATTTAATGGCAGATCTATTATTTAATTAATAGACACTTAAATAAATAATAGAGTCCATAGATTCAAATTTTCGTAATTTGTTAATCACAAGGAGTTGTGATTGTGAGATACAAATTATATCTGATTGAATCTTAAATCATCCGTGGTCGTAAGTAATAATGAGATACGAATATCGTTATTACGGATAGACCATCACGTGTGACATTTCTTAGTTGTGAAGTAAGTAGTTGATCTCACAAGCTGAAGTGTGGTGACACTTAAATTAACACGTGGATGTTTTGTTATAAAATAAAACATTGGAGGCCCGTCGAGAGATTCCACATGGATAACTATCTGAGTGTCAGTTGTTAATCTCTAACGTTCGGTAGTGGAATTGGTCATTTGATTTGAGGTCGTCATAATACCTTATATGAGGACAGTAATACTTTGGCGGTGTTGAATGTTGCTCTGCAAAGGGCCGTCAATACGACATCGTTCGGGTACGTCAAGAATCGTATGAAGGTTGTGATTGATCAATAAATAATTCGTCACTCTTAGATAGTAGGAGATTATGATCTGCGTTTCATTCAATTAAGTCGATGATGAAATCCTTGGCCAAGGTATACTCATAAGTCGAAAAGAAATTTTCGACTTATATTGATTTAATAGTGGAGTGAAAGATATGATCGATAATCAGGATTGACACAATTCCATATCTCGTAATTGATCGAATCATATTGACGAAAGGATTATATTTTCACGATAAGCAAACGAGTTTGATTTTGTCATACCATGCGACATTCCCCGTCACATGTATTGCCCTGACACATTGCTAGATGTCAATTTGGAACGGCTAGTCTGGCCTGGTCCGGTCCAATATTTAGGCATCGTGATCGGGAACCTAATGGGTGGCACACAAAAGATAATTAAAAGATTGCAATTTGTCAATTAATTAACTTAACAATTATTGGATAAATTAATTAATTGGTTTAGTTATTTATAGGTCCGAATTAATTAATTGGATTAATTAATTCACTGATCGGATTTAATTAAATGGATTAATTAAATATTGGACCGGACCAGGCCAGACCCGTTTGAGCTTATATAAATACATGGCTAGAGTTTTCAATTCATATGTTTTTTTTTCTCATAATCATTCTTGCTAGCACAAGAGATAAAAACCCTGGTAACTGCAATCTTGTTCTCTGTGTGGATCATCGTCGGAGGCTGGACAATTGAATAGTTGTGGGTAGCGAATCAAGATTGCTGAAACGATAAGAAAAGCAAAAGGTTTGCAGAATTCTTCAAAAGTACAATCTTTATCACGATTTCTATTTAAACACAAAGGGATCCTCAGTGGGAATCGAAATAATTTTAATTTTTCGCTGTGCATGTATAAGTAAATTCCCAACATTTCTAGGACTAGGAAAATTCTGAAGGTAAAGCATATCATGCTACATTTGAAGCCAGGGGCTTGCAACCAGGAAATGGGCTTATTTATTATGGTCCCGTTTGGTACACATTAATGTAAAAATGAGAATGACAAATATAGTTGTTACGGGTCCCACACAAGAGATAGAAAATCAAATATGGTGGATTGATATGATGGATAATGATTATATTTTTCATTTTAATGGACAAATAATGAAAAAAAACGGGGGCTATTTATTGAAAAGGGGGAGTGGGGGGGTTTTTTTGTGGGTTGGGGGTTGGTGGGGGATTGGTCCACTCCGAAAAGATACAATGAGCCACAGCTTCAAACTACTGGACATGTAAAACTTTTGAAAATTTACAAGCATGCTAAAGAGGGTATGGCCGAATTTCTGATAAATAAAAGGGATTCAATTAGACAAACCATGACTTTGAACACGACAGTTACAATCTTTCTTTGTCAATTCTTGGCTTTAAGATTGCTTGCATTGGATGAAGTTTGCGAGTAGTAAGCCCAAGAGTGTCAACATTTTCTTGTTCTCCCTCCTTCAGTTTCCATTCGAACTCTTGAACTAATCTCCCAATGGCTATACAAGAAATCAACATTGCCTGGAGAGAGCCTGCACATACCCTCTTTCCAGCTCCAAAAGCCATTGTCTTGTGCATATCCATTGGATCATATTTCTCATTGAGAAATCTTTCAGGCTGCCACTGTTCAGGACACTCCCACAATTTTTTGTCCATGTTGCACCCAAAAATATTTATACAAATCTGCACATTGCACAACATTGTCTGCAGTTGGACTCCAATAGAAAATTCTAAATGTTAGAGGTTAGAGGAAGAGTGATAACCTCGGTTTCAGCTGGAATGTAGTATCCTCCTACTTGTGTATCGTCATGAACATATCTAAGAGGAACTATAGGAGCAGGACTGTACTTTCTCAAAGTTTCATGAAATACAGCAGACAAGTATGGAAGTTGGATTAACTTTTCCTCTGTGATTTTTTCGAATCCACAGACATTTTTAATCTCCATATAAAGACGATCCTGTTTTATTAAGAAGGAATCGCTATTAGATAGGTTGTAAATAAACCAAATCAATGGTATACAGGCACATTGCATGAGGGTGAATCAAACCACCTGTCTCTCTGGATCTTTTGCAAGTTCATACATGGCCCATTCTGTGGTGAGAAAAGTGGTGTCTGATGTTTCGATTATGGCTTCCCATAGCAGCATAAGTATTTGTTGCTCGGATAGCATTTTTGCTTTGGATAACAAGTAGTCAATGTAGCAGTTGAGTTCCTGATATACATTTTAATCCTGAATTATCTCATTTCAGTTCAAACATAGGTTTAAAGTAAAAGTGAACTATACATAGAATCGTGAGATAACTAAAAATGTTCGTTCCAATGAAGAGATAAATGTACCTTGCCGCAATCAATTCGTCTCCTCTGCTCATTAATGAGAACCTTCATCACAGCTGTCCTACGGAAACACATCCGCTGAATTTTATTTTCGAAGCTTTTGTTGGGAATCCACCTCAGGTACGGAAAAAAATCTCTCCAATCTACCTCAATAGCACCCTCCATTTGATCATGCACTAATATCTTCATTATCTCTCCCTTTGACAGGGTCATTCCAAGTTCCTCAACATAAACCGACTCAATATCCTTTCCAAGAGCCTGCATACCGCATAAAATGCTTTAAATATTATCAATTGCACTCCGATTACAAGAATTGTTTATGGCCTTAGGTAGATGTGAACAGACATACTTCTTTCAATGCCAATCCAAAAAGCTCAGGCTCGAATATCTTCCTAAGGTATACAGGTTGAAGAGGATCCTTCTCTACATGAGCATGCAATTGTTCAGAAATGTTCATTATCATGGTATCCCTGTGAACACGATGCTGTTTCTGGAAGAATCAGCAAAAACAGTGTTAATAGTGCAGTAACATTTGCAGTAAATAATCAAGCTTCGATCAGAAAAATCTGTGATTTGAACCTGTGCATTAGGTCCCAATGTACTTGTGAGTATATGCCGTTTTACTGTCTTGTGAAATTCACCATAATCACTCATTGCAACCATATTTTTATCAGAAGTGAGTCTCTTTAGCGCGTTCGATAGCTTTCTTGTTGAGATGGACGAGAATCTTGTCACCATAGCCTAAAACAAACCAAAGGAATATAACTTAGCGAGCATAACTTTACAGAAAAAAAGGAAGACGGAATTTTTTTTATCATCCTTTGAATGATAGAATAGAAGTTAACAATATTCAGAAGAAAGCAAATATTGATTCAATTATACCATAAATGCACAATCAATTCTTCCTATTAGTTCCCAAAATCTCCAAAATTTCTTTCCCCCATTTCATAGAAATAATAGTCAAGAGCTTTGTTACCTCCTTAGCAACATCATTGGAGTTGAGTACAACTATGGAGTTGTAACCTGTTCTAATGGAATAGACAGGACCATATTCCTCGGCCCATTTGGTAAAAGTCTTGTAAGGTTTCTTCTCTTTTAATTGCAGCAAATTTCCAATCAATGGAAGCCCTGGCACCTCTGCATTCAATACAATATTTCTCAGTTATACTCATAAAACATAAGCCTTGTTTTTTACTGCCCATTTTTTTTGGATAATTAAGGAATACACGAATGATAGACAATGATCTCTAGATCTGATCATCACTTTGAGTCATGTGCTCAAATCATTAAACGTTCAAAATCAAACATTTTCCAAATCATAACCATTTAATAAGCATAATCCAGTACTTTTCGTCAACAACCGGATCAAGAGAAAACCAATACTGACAGCAAAGCGAGTTAACGAAAGCACCTGGTGGAGAAGGGAGGCCTGAAGATCTCCTCTTATGATCACTCACATATCCTCGAATGAACAACAAAGTGAGGACGACAAGAACAACAGCTGTAATTGCAGTCCCCAAAGGCAGTGCTTCAAGATTCAGAATTGCATCCATTTGCCCCATTTTCTAATTCCTATGAAATCTAAAAATTCAAAACGGGACCTTTCAACTTTATATAAACTTGTAAGAAAGAGAACTACAGGCATCATAATCAAAATTTCACTACCCAGAATGTGAATTAAATTCGAAAACAAAGAATACTAAATTAGCATATTACTGAGCAATTTTTCCGTTACAGCAAGCATGAACTCCATTAGATTTACACGCAGAATATGAAATTATGTGAAGATTTGTGTTACCTGTGTCTGTGGAAGGTGGAAATAAATTATCGAGTTAATAATAGGATGAAGGATCTTGGAGCCATCAATTGCATTTGAGTTTCTTATAGACATGGGAAATGGTATACTGTTGTCTGTTGATGCTTTTGTCTCTTCACGTGGCCCCTCAGACGATACTCATTTGGACAGTAGTTATTAACATTACCCGTTTGTTCAGAATATCAAATTATAATTGGCGATTTTAGTTGGAATAATCACTGATGTATCAATATAACATCAGTTTAGTGATATTAAATTATATATTAATTGGAATAACATAAATTTACATATCATATAATATCACATAAATCGGTATAATAGCTCCTTAAATGACATGTAATTTCACATTTAATTGAACATATCACATAATGCTACATACATTAGTGTTTAATATCATTATTTTATAATTAATTATCCTTTAATAATCATAATCATGCCACTGAATTGGGTATCTTGACCCAAATTGAAAGATAATGTTATCGAGCATCAGTGGTGTTTGAGCACCAATTTAAGTGATCACACTTTATAAGTTCAATTAAATGAATTACGTAATGATTTAATTAAGCACCCGTTTGATCCCCATTTTTTGGTAATGGAAATGTGAGGAATGGTGTTTTTTTTTTTTTAAATGAGTGGTTGAAAAAGAATAAAAAAATTTTGATTGACGTGTAATATTATTTTATGAAAGATTGTGTGGTTGAAAATAAGAGAGAGAAAAATAGAATGTAATGAAATTTAATTTAATGGGGACCAAAAGAGGACTAAATATATCAGTTAATGTCACAGTTATCAATTATCATTAAAATCAGGACTGTTGAATAGCATTGGTAAAATTATGAGAGGTTGGGAAGAAAGCTTGGCTTTGTTGTACCAATTCCAAAGGATGTATCATTTGTCCTTAGTGGGTTCCATTCAAAAGATCAATAAATTTCCATTTCTTAGATTCATGGCCTCAATTTAATTCAGTGAGATCTTTCATTCACATTTTTTTCCCACCAAGAACGTGGATCCAACCAGCTGGACCTTTTTCCTTTATAACTAGGAAAGACATGTGCATGATTTTATTTTATTTTTCCTTTTTGGCAATGTTTTATATTGGAAAGCCTTGTGCTATAACTTTGCAATTAAAAGTTCACGATCTAATTAGAAATTATTACATAAGTTCACAATGTGCTCATAGTAACCTCTTAAACTAATATACTAATTGTTACTATTATTTTTTCTTATTCGTAAATATGAATTAAGGTTCTACACTAGAAAGTGAGCTAATGTATTACTTCTCAATAATAAGGCCGTATATTGTATAATTCGACTTTTTTAGCAAAAAATCGTTGACAAAGATTTAAATATAACTTATAGGAACCTTATCTTACTTCTCAATAATAAGGCCGTATATTGTATAATTTGACTTTTTTAGCAAAAAATTGTTGACAGAGATTTAAATATAACTTATTGGAACCTTTTAAAATAAGATCTAGATCTTTTACGAAACTTTATATATTGGATGTGAAATAAGATTGCACACTTTAAAAGTGAAATCTCACTTTTCTAGTTAGATTGTCACACAATATATAATTTGCTACTACAATAAAATTCTTAAAAAAACTAAAATTCAGAAATTCAAAACTTTAAAATTTGATAAATTCTGAAAAATAAGAAAATAAAAATTTTGAAAAATAAATCTAAAATTCTAAAAGAAATAAATCCTGAAAATCTGAAAAAAATATAATCCTAAAGATTCTAAAAAATAAAAATACAAAAATTTCAAAAAATATATTTAAATGAGCAAAGAAAAAATCTATAGTCCACGTCGTTAAATTTTATTTTATATGTTCTACGTTTTGCCAAGTAAATCTTTTAATTGATTAAGGTTTTCATATCTAGATGAGTTTTTAATAATTCAAAACTGAAAATTAAAATTAAAACACAAATCAAACGAATCCTTAATTTTTTTTAAAATGATGAAACGATTAGAATTTTTTATATTTACTGAGCCCCAATTTGATGGTCATTATAATTATAAAGAAAAATTGGGGGAAAAATGATATTTTGAATATTGATTTTTTTAAGAATGTCTGATTGAAAAATTGAAATTTTTTGAATTTATGTATAGAATATTCTTGTTGTATAAATATATAGTTGAAAATAAATATAAGAAATAAAGAATTTTAATTGGCCACCTTTTTTTCCTCAGAAATAATGGCATTACTTACGAAAAGAAAAATGAATACGAAGTGGCATACTCAGGGTTGTATCATTTCATAAATGCCTACCTCGTGGAGTTCGTCAACCCCCATCAGACCCATACCTTTTCAATCTCCGAAAAAGCTCTCCCTCACGGGATTTTAGCTCTCCGGTACTAGTCTACAGAACAGTAAGAACTTGGACCCATAAAAAATTCTGAAAGTTGTGAAACTGGTCTTCTTTCTTTCTTTAACGGTAAGTCTGAAACTCCTTTTGACTTATAATTTTCTTATGGATTTTAGGTTTGTAGGAAAATGGCGAATGGTTGCATGGATTGCCGGCGCAGAGAGGAAGATATGTACTGGTCTCATTTCCAAACGGTCCAATTCTGTCAAATTCTTTCTGGGCAATTTGATCAGAAGCTTGTAAGTCTAGAGTCTTCTTCTTCTTCCTTGTGTACGTGTGATTTTGTCTGTTTATATGTTTTGCAGTATGTATTTTGAGAAAGAGAAAAAGTATAAATTAAATCATGATGCATGTTATATATCTCAGTCTTTTAATTTTTGTATTGGGATTCTTTGATTTTTAGTGAGTTGTCCAGTTAAAAAATAACATTATTATAACATTTAAAATGCTGTCTTAAATATTTTTATTTTTCTGGGATAATTTCCTAAAATACCTTTTAGCCTAAAAGGTATTTTTTCCGAAGCTTGAGGTGGACAAAATTTCGTGTGTGAACTCATTATTCTGTTAGCTAGAATGATAGCTAGGGACAGACGAGTGCGAAGCTGGGTAACTAAATTTTGATTATTGAAAGTGTAAGGACCATTTGCAAGCAACACAAAGTTCAAAAACCAACAAGGTTTATAACCTATCCTTATAAACAAAAAGTTAGAACTTTAGGACATTTTCACGCTGCACATTTTGACAACTTTGAAAAGTCCCTCTTGTACACGTTCGGGTCTATTTTAGATTGAATAAGGGATTACGTGAACATTTGATCATCGAAACTGTTTATGAACCTGAAATGTATAATAACAAGTTGGAAGATTATATAGTTGAAGAAGACTTCATAAGTATTTAGTTTGGCTTTTGAGTTAGGACTCTAATGCATACTTAATTGTTTAGATGAGAGACGGCCTATGCAAACCTAATATATATATATATATATATATATATATATATATATATATAATGGCAATGGGGAGTGAAATATTTTTTAGCAGGAATCTCTTGTAGTTTTCTTCGTGGCTCTTTTTTGTATACTCCCGCTTGAATATACTTCCTAATTTTAATGGAACTATGACATTGAAATGGAAGATCTTTCTTATAATAAATTACGTTAATTCTATGACTCTATGTATGTACAGAGCAAATTATATATTATGTGAATCTGCCAACAAACATTAGTATCTTGCCCAAGGTTTATAGGAAGTATGAAATATGAGATTTAAACATTAGTATCTTGTACAACGTTCATAGGAAGTATGAAACATGAGATTTAAACATTAGTATCTTGTACAAAGTTCATAGGAAGTATGAAACATGAGATTTTTTGTATTGGACACACCGTACTTTTTCTATCGGGTTTTGAAAACATATGGAAAATGAGGCATGTTTAGTGTGACTATTCACCCTTGAGCACATTGGCTGTTTATTTGAGTTGATTCAATCCTGCTGTTTGTTAATTCAATGGATCATTCATGTTTTGCAGCATAGTACAGTATTTCAAAAATTTATATCGTGAATGTAAACCCAGTCATAACTTCGATAAGAATGCAGGCTATACCGAAAAAGTTCACTAACAATGTGAGAGAGAAGTTAGCTGGAACTGTAACTCTGAAAGGTCCAAGTGGGCATATTTGGGATGTAGGATTGACCACAAATGGTGATACATCCGTTCTCAGACAGGGATGGAAAGCTTTTATCGAAGATCATTTTCTAGAGGAGAATGATATTTTGATATTTAAATATAACGGAAATTCAAGCTTTGATGTTTCGATGTTTGACCAGAGTAGTTTGTGTGAGAAAGAAGCTTCATATTTTGTGAAAAAATGTGAACATACAGAAATTGAATTGGGCTGTAAGAGAAAGAGAAACACGCCAAGAAGGACTGAAGATACTGATGATCTTTTCAATGAGTCTTCCGATGATGTTGTTGAATACCATCCAGTAAAAAAACCTAGAAATGATGCTGCAAAAACACCGATGTCATCAAGACTTGCTACTCGAACTAATGCAAAGCTGCTGAGAGGAAAAAAGAGTAAGTTTTACCAAGATTCCATTTTGTTACTTTTAAGAAAGATTGTCACTTAAGTGACAAAAGCTTCATATTCTTAATGGTCAGACTCATTTGATGTAGAGGTAAAACGAGGTTCTAGCAATAGTTATGGATATCAATTGCAGCTAACATCTCTTAGAAGGGCAGTAACTGAAGAGGAAAAGGAGACGGCAAAAGAAAAGGCGAAGGCACATGCAGCATCATTGGAAAACAGTTTTATTTTAGTAATGCGACCGACACATGTCTACAAAGGATTCTTGATGGTAACATACAGTATGCTAATAAACATTTAAATTGGAAGGGTTAAATACGCTCATTATCACTATACATAATTTAATGTTGTTCATTGAATTGTAACATTTGTCATGATTTGGTCATTCTTCCTACATATGATTAACAGAAACGATGGCTTAACCGTCTATTTATTTGCCAACTAGACGGCCAAAAAAACTTTCCATTTGTCAAAACTATTAACATTGATGAATGACCAAATTATAACAATGGGTCAAGTTCAGCAATTTAACTGAAACTTTGTTTAAGGAGATCAAACTGTAAAAAACTGGTCTTTAGTGATCAATAAAGGTTTAACCTGTCTTTGAGTTTTCAGTTTCTCTCATCCTTTTCTTTGTTTTAGTAATATGCTTACTTTTCTTGATGGGGCGAATGATGGGAGGAGAATCGAAGAAATAGAATTTTATTACAACTATTATCATGGGACATTTGATGCAGTGTATCCCTTCTGAGTGGTCTAGAGTACATCTCCCTCAGAAAACTCAACAGGTTGTTATCCGCCTTAATGAGAAATCATGGAAGGCCAAATATCATCGGACAGGTTTTGGTGGCAGACTGATTAGTGGTTGGAAGAACTTTGTTCTCGACAATTTCTTAGAAGAATTTGATGTGTGCTTGTTCCATCTAGCCAGTAGAATAAATGATGGCGTCATTCTTGACGTAAGCATTTTCCGAGTTGTAGAGGATGTGATTCCACCATCACGTGTTCCCCGGGCATCTCAAGGTCGTGTTGTTCGTGGGAGGCTGACCAAGACTCTGAGAAACAGAGCGAATGAAGCTGATGATGAATGACTTTGGCATCTCTGAATCATATTTTGGTATAGCTAGCTGGTTTTGGAATGACATTCAAGTGTCTAATGTTTTGCTTCATGTTGGAGAAGTCCTTGCTTTCTTTTGGACTGGGTTACTCTGGAGCTTTTTATTAAGTGCTAACTTGTTTTGTATTAGTTGTGGTCTCTGGGATGTGCCTGGTAGTGCTAACTTATCAAAAATGTAACAAAAAATAGAATTTCCTCTAATTTATATTGGAGGTTAAATTACAAGTTTTGTCTTCATTCCCCCTTTGCACACCTCTATTTTCTTTTCGGGTAACATTTAGAGCCTGTTTTGGAGTTATTTTTTCTCCAAAAAATTGGTGTTTTGATCGTTATTTCACTATTCTAACTCATTATATTTGATTTCTTCTCTCACACGTGAACCTAACTTTTCTTCTAACGATCAAAAAATCAATTTTCAAAATCACTTTCAAATAGACTCTTAATACGGCATTACATTAATTAATGTAGCATGTCCTTAATATGTCCATTTAGGCCGTTAAGGAAAGTGAGGTATATATGAATTTTTTAGCAAGGGTATTTTTGTCAAAGCAACTAAAAATGAAAAATACAAAATGAGAGAAAAGAGAAGATAATTATATTCACATCACAATTTTTTTCTTGCACTTAAGATTAAAAACTCTTTGATCATTACAACACTTATGTTCCTAACAATTTTTATGTCATTTTTATTCTCAAATTTTTTTTTTTTTAACACATTTTATATTTGATAACAATTTTATGTTCAAAAGTTTGTTAAAATGGCATAAAAATATATATTTTTCATCATATTTTTTAAAAATAAATAAATAAATAAATGTGCAAAAAAATATTTTTTATATTAATTTGAAGTATGAAAATAAAATATTTTGATATAAATATAAGAGTTTGACAAAAAAATGTGTATATGCCTATGTTTTCTAGTGTATAGTTAAAAAAAAATGCATTTTGAAGACGGTGCAAAGAAAACTAAAGAAAAGAGATTTACAAAATAAAATCGTCTTCAATTTCTCTATGCATGTAAGCATCTGTATATTTGTGTGTGATTTTGTTTACAGTTTTATTTGTACCATTTTTTTATGAACAAAGAAGGGTTTAGGAAACAGCATAAAGAGATGCACAAAACAACAAATCAGTGGCCATGGTGAATGTTTCTTATATATCCGGAGATTAAGAAGTTTTATTCACGAGAATCTGCACCATTTGTTAAGGCCCTTTCAGTTCCACCTCAATTCCATTTGGCCCAATTTGGATGACAACCATTCCTGAATCTACAGATAAACCAACATACTGTCCCCCCGTCCAGCTCAGCCCCTCCTGCACCTCGAGTCATACCCCGCTCCAACTACATTTCCAGCCACCTGGTATCTCCCCTCCTGTTGCTGTTTTTTTAAATGGGATTGTTCCAATTGTTTCATGAGTTTGTTTAAGAAGATGAAAGAGTTAAGAAAGACGGGGTTGATTGATGTCAATTTGACTCAGTGAGGGTCGATTTCTTACAGGAACAGGCGTATTTATAAAAGGGATTTATAAGTCATTTGATATCAAAACAGTGCTTTGTAAACAAAAAATTCAAATGTAGGATTATTTTTCACTGTGCACATTTTGACACGTCCACTTTGGAAAAACTCCTCTTTTACCCGTTCGAAACTCCTAGCTTGAATGATGAAATGAGTTCTAAATGACCATTTGGTTGTGGAAATTGCTGGTGAATGTGGAATGTATAACACCAAATTGAAAGATTATAAGCTGGTATTCAGTTTGGCTTTTGAGTATGGTCCATTGAGGGTATCTAATTGTGTAGACAGAACACGGGACCTAAGCTTGCACATGTTGGCTACTGGCTTGACCCTGATCCTCTTTGTCCCATCTGGTTGATAGTAAAGCATTTTTAAGAGATATGTAGGTTATTCAAATGAGAATGACTGTAAATAGGCAATCTTATTTTTGTTCTAGGATAAGTAAAGCATGTGAATTTTGACTTCTGGCAGACAAATCCTACTTCAAAAAGTTAAAATCCATTTCCCGTAAATTGATCCATCTCCTAAGAAAAATCTGTTCCAAAAGAGTTATTGGAGACATTGAGGAAAGCCACTAATATTCACCTAACATACGATTGTATATGATTTAGCTCTTCATCAAATTTTTGTAAGTTGCTAGAAGATTTGGTCCCTCGTGTGCAACATTCTGGAACAATAATCCCAATATTATATATGATATAAGGGGCTTGGCTTCAGCAGCGGTGGCAGCCACCATCCACTCCGCATGCATAAATTCCACATTATTTTTTATTCCACCTTCTAAAGTCTCTTGGACTTTACAATTATTTGATCTTGAATGCATAAACCTTTAACTTAAATAAATTCTGTTTTCCGTTCAATTTAATTCAAAATGCACAAGGCAGGCATAAATTGTAATGTGCAAAGGAATCTTATAATAATAATCAAGTTTGGGAGTTGCAAAACCTTTCGATGTTAGACGTTAGTTTGGGGTTTGATGCAATATTTTTAATGGAATGCAGAAAAGAGGACAAAGTTTCTGAGTGCATTTTTAGGATCTACATGTATCCACAATAGTTGACTAATTATTTGGAATTTAATCCTGCTGCTTTTTCAATCAATTAATCATTCGTTTGTTGCAGCATAATCTTTCTTTTTCGTTCTCTTTCTGGTACGTTATTTAGATTATATATGTATCAGTGAAAACCCAGGCATAACTTTGATAAATATGCAGGCTATCCCAAAAAAGTTCGCTAACAATGTGAGAGAGAAGTTAGCTGGAACTGTTGCTCTGAGAGGTCCAAGTGGGCACATTTGGGATGTAAGATTGACAACAAATGGGGATACCATTGTTCTCAAAGAGGGTTGGAAGGCGTTTATCGAAGATCATTGCCTAGAGGAAAATGATATTTTGATATTTAAATACAACGGGAATTCAAGATTTGATGTTTCGATGTTTGACCAGGAAAACTTCTGTGAGAAAGAAGCTTCATATTTTGTGACAAAATGTGTACATAAAGAAATTGAATCTGGCCGTAAGAGACCAATAACCATGCCCGAAAGAACTGATGAAAAGATCAACGAACTCTTCAGTGAGTCTTCGGATGATGCCATCGACTCCTGTTCAGATAAAAAACCCAGGAATGATACTGCAAATACGCCAGGCTTAAGAAAAGAAAGGAGAAAAAAAAGTAAGTTTATCTAGATCCCATTTTGTTACTTTATGGAAATATGATGTTACTAAAGAGACAACCTTTGAATTCTTAGTAGCAATACTCTCTTTGATGTAGACGGCAGACGAGGTTCCAGCAGTAGGATTAATACATGTCCCTTGCAGCTGACATCTCGTAGAAGGGCAGTAACTGAAGATGAAAAAAAGAAAGCACTAGAAATGGCAGGTGCAGCATCGTCGGGAAACAGTTTTATGGTCGTTATGCGACCGTCACATGTCTACAATGGATTCTACATGGTAACATGAAATGTACTAATAAGCTTTTAGAAGTTCAATCTCTCTCTCTCCCCCCCCCCCCCCCCCCCCCCCTTCTTCTTTTTTCTATTTATTTAATTATTTATTTGATGCAGTCTATCCCTTATGAGTGGGCAAGGATGCATCTCAGTCGAAAAAGCCAAGATATTGTTCTTCGTGTTAAAGAGAATGCATGGCAGGTCAAATATCATCAAAAAGCTTATAATAATGGCGGATTGTATGGTGGTTGGAAGAATTTTGTTCATGACAACTCCTTAGAAGAATCTGACGTGTGTTTGTTTGATCTAGCCAGTGGACCAAATGACAGCATCGTTTTAGACGTTCAAATTTTTCGAGTTGCAGAGGAAGTGGTTTCACCATCACAAGTTACTCCAGGCAACTCAATGCCGGTTACAGGTGGAGGCCAACCAAGTCTCTCAAGGAACGTGATGAATGGAGGGGACGATGCATGAATTGGGATGCTTTTATTTTGATTATATCTTGATATAACTAGCTGGTTTTGGACTAAGAATTAACCGTTGGCTTTGTGCTGACAATTTCTACTTTCTTTTAGGTTGGTAATTGTGTTACCATTGTGAGCTTCTTCATCAACTTATTTTGTAGTAGTAATAGTTTCTGCATTTGTTCTTTGTTAATGATTTATTTGTTTATTGTACTTATTATTATTATTTTGTGGTCCCCTTCCTGGATGGATATTTGCCATTATTGTCACCTTAAATTCAACAAAACAACCAAATTAGTACATAAATAAATGTCAAATACAGCGATTTCATTTTCCACGTCTCGATATTGAGAACAGAGTCGAATAAATTGAGTAAGTTCACGGAAGGATAACAATAAAAGGCATGCAAATTGAAAAACAGTGAAAAGTCCCTGTGTTATCATTCAAAAATCTACTAAATGACTATTGCAGAGACGAGATATTCTGAAACTGAGGCATTTCGGAAGATGCATGAGCTTCTCAGCTATCTAAAAATTTGGTAAAATAGTTCGTCAGATACGGGTACTAAACCATCACCTATCTGGTCGTCTCCTTTACGATCTTGGTTCCTCAGTTCGATGGTTTCTGACATGCAGCAAATAGCTGCCAGCTGATAAAAGCCATCACCAAAGAAGTGAACAACTCAAAGCCTACTATCTTTGTTAAGTGCCACCCCAAGCCTCGTCTTAGATAGCTGAAAATTACAATAAAACGTTGAAAGATTAGACCCTTTTTTAATTCTCATTCTTCTAAAAATTCATTTCCAACCACACATTCTTCAATAAAATAATATTACACGTAAATTCGAAACTTTTCTTTAATTTTTAACCACACATTTTCCATTAATCTATAATTCAAAATGCATTATTTCCCCTAAAATGGGGATCAAACAAGGGCTAAATATATTTTTCCAGACTATCATGATTTGTTACATGCTCGATCAAAGAAATAGTAACCCAGCATATCCTGAAAAAGCAGTAGCCTTGAATTTAGTTTTACAGGAGCAATGTAGACACATCATCATAGGTAAGACACAGATATGTAGGCAGTTAACAAAATAAAGGAGGCCCTTCCAAAATGAACAGAAACCTATATCATCAAGTATGGTAGACAACTTGACAAGCATACCTTGTGATTGATGGCATTGTTGCAACAATCCCAGCGCATACATATATTATAGGAATCAAAGTCTTGGGTTTATTTTTCCTAAGCCACATCAAGGACCCTAATGCAGCAAGAGATAAACTCAACACCTGAAAAATAGCACACCAAATAATATATCTCATTAAGGACAACGATACAATGAGAAAACAATGTCAAAAATTGTGCAGAACAGCATATACAAAAACTTGAAAGAAAGTAAGCAACTATAGCACATGAAATTAAGCCCCTGTTTGGCCTCCATTACGAGAAAAAATTAATGTGTCGAATAGTGTTTTTTGAAAAATGAGTGGTTGAAAAAGAAGGAAAAAATTTCAATTTACTTGTAATATTATTTTATGGAAGATTGTAAAGTTAAAAATAGGAGAGAGAAAAATGAAATGTAATGTAATAAAAATTAATGGGGCTCAAACAGGGGCTAAATATCTAATGTCACATCTCCAGTGAGATGAATAAAGAAAATGTTGGATGCATAACATGAAAGAAATGTTCCATACCAAATTAGCATTTGCTTCAAGACCCTGAAAAATATAGTCCCAAGTAAATTCTAATCCTCTAGCACCCACCCAAAGAGGTGCTAATCTATGCAGGACAGAATCAGCAAAGGCCCACCCTGTCAACATCGAAATAGAACCTTAAATGTCAAACAGCTAATATTTAACTGATCGAAGAAGACAGTACGGTTATTGTAGCAACCACTGACTTTGCATTTTATGTGGGTCCCAGATGTCAAAAAAAATTAATATGTAAAAGCAGGCCAATAGGAAGAATAGACAGGTTCTCCATGGATTGATTTGTCAAATTTGCCAGCAGATATTTTCCCCATTAACAATAAAATAGGATTCGTAAGCATGATGAAGGTCCCCAATCTGACAGCTACTAGGTGGTTTAAAGGCAGATATTTGGCATGGTAGGCTATAGTGAGAAGATAAAAAACACAACAAAAAATTCGCAGAGAATGAATTGCTCGTGTTTTGGAAGTAGTTTCTTTCTCTGATTGCTTTCATTGATTTCTTAATTTCCTTTA